AACATACAATGGTAAGCAAAAATTCATTCTCTTATAAGCATAAATAATTTAAAAAAAAAACCCTGGTAACAGCAAAAGTAGTTCACCTTTTTCAGCTCTAGGAGTAGGAAATTAAATAAAGCATCGCGGCAGCAAAAAGAAAAACAGTGGAAAAAAGAATGGGAGAAAAACATCGCCTCATCACTCAGCGACTAGCTGATTGTGCGTGGGTCCTAGAACGAATAATAGCAATCTGTATTGTCTCGTCACTCGTCTAACGTGTCACCGATCGAGGGGCGGGAAAGCGAACTACGGCAGCAACGGAGCTTCCACTATGCCCTAACGCCGAGATTGTGGGAGCGAGAGGGTCCCTTCTACCACCGATGAGGGGCGCTGAGTATTCCTAAAGGAAGAACTCAGTAACCGTATTTATCGTGAACCGTGCCTTTAATTGATGATCTCGAAAAATTGGAATCTAATGAACAGTAAGCGAACAAGCTACTTTTCCCAGCATGTCGCAAGCTGCAGATTTACCACTGAAGGCAAGCTATTTACAGTTTACAAGCTTTAGGAGTCTCCGAGCTACTTGAATTACCTTAGTTCAATGGTTGGGGCTTGGTATTCATGAAGGCGAGGCTTGGTACAACCGTGTGACCAAGCGTGCAAGATACCCCGCATTCCTGTAAGATTCTACTTTCTAAAGAAGAGGAGGTGTAGCGGAAGTAAAGCAAGGCACCATCAGACATGCATGGTCCAGGGATCAAGTTCCAATCTCCAGTCGAAGCCTAAGGAAACTGAATCTCCCGGCTCCAAGATCGATTAGATGACATCAAATCTGTCTGGGAGAACAAAACCCTGACTTTTACATTAACTGAGCGCGGCAAGTCACTGTATAGGCTACATACACATTCAAAACGCCAATACGATTTTTTATGGAAATCGAGTGCGTGGGCGCATCTGAAAAAAAAAACGTAAGGGTGTATCAGACCATCTCTATCCATATTTCCTCATCATATTTTTTTTGAGCATGAGTAACTATGTTTTCATCATTTGGATGCTCTTTCACGAGCCTAGACCATAATTACATCAGAAGCAGTCGTATAATTGTAGAGAAATATGGAACGCTCATTGGTGTTCGCTTGCAATAGCTACCTACGTCTATAGCCGAGAAGTCACCTTGGCCTTTGTGTCCACCTTGTATGGCCCTAAGGCCATGAAATCGTTATGAGAAGTCCAATAATCGTAAAAACCACATTATCGTAATCGGGGAGACGAAGGTGGTCATAAATGCTGCCATTACTTCTCACATATGATTTAGACTTTGGCTTTCTTTTAGGAACCTTTCAATTGGAGACAGAGGCAGTATGACAGAGGCTCAAGTCGCTCATTTGGAATGTTTCTACCTAAGCAAGCCTGATTCTGGACTACTCTATGCAAAAGGGATCACTAACACAGAGCTTCCCAATTTGTCGTCAAGTTATCTCAACCAGTTCCCCATGATAGGTATATAGCCAGCTGTCAAGTGAGCCCATCCAGCGTCGGCCCTACCAAACTGGGGCTTTGCATGTCGAACACCGCGAGGAAAAAGGTCATATTTTCCGAACTGTCTCTTTCTACTTTTCCAAAAAGTGATTATCATTGGCTTACAAGGCAGTATTTAGTCACCCACCGCACCCTATCCTCTTATCCTTACCCAATCCTTATCTGCCACAGCCTTTGAGAAAATCTAAGCAACTAGTTATGCGAAAAACAAACCTCTTCATTCGGTGGTGTTCAAGGTTTAACGGAACGTAGTGTTTATAAGCTCATTAATGACAACGATGAAAGATCAATGTACATCAAAAAACAGATGGATAAAGAGAAAAATATCCACAAGTCTAGAGTATGTGGCCTAGAAGCACTTGCGGTGAACAATGGATGGGCCAGATTCGTCATATTCTTGTTTGGAGATCCACATTTGTTGGAAAGTGGAGAGAGATGCCAGAATCGATCCTCCAATCCAAACAGAGTATTTGCGCTCTGGTGGAGCGATGATTTTGATCTTCATCGTGCTGCAATTGAAAAACATGCATTCGTAATTACAGAAACCTGAATTTACGTAAAAGGCAGTCTCAGAAGAATATCCATTCGATTAACCTTGGCGCAAGAGCAGTAATTTCCTTCTGCATGCGATCGGCAATGCCGGGGTACATCGTTGTTCCACCAGACAGAACAGTGTTGGCGTACAAGTCCTTACGGATGTCGATGTCGCACTTCATGATTGAGTTGTATGAAGTTTCATGGATACCAGCAGATTCCATACCCAGGAAAGAAGGCTGAAAAATTCATTTGAGCTCAGGGGAAAACTGATGCTGTTTAGATGATTAACTGGCCTGGAAAAGTGCTTCCGGACAACGGAATCGCTCGTTTCCTACAGTAATGACTTGTCCGTCAGGAAGCTCATAAGATTTCTCTAGAGAGGAAGAAGATGCAGCGGTAGCCATCTCTTGCTCGAAATCGAGGGCGACATAGCAGAGCTTCTCCTACGAAAAGTAGAAGTGCAGAATTGATTACTAGAGTACACGCACCTATGAGCTTGCCCACCTTGATGTCTCGGACAATTTCACGCTCAGCCGTGGTCGTGAACGAGTAACCACGCTCAGTGAGGATCTTCATCAAGTAGTCAGTGAGATCACGGCCCGCAAGGTCGAGGCGAAGAATCGCGTGAGGAAGCGCATAACCCTGGAGAAGAGCATTCACTTCTTTTTTTAGCCTAGCATGCCTATAACGTTACCTCATAGATAGGGACGGTGTGAGTAACACCATCTCCAGAGTCGAGCACTACACCAGTAGTACGTCCAGAGGCGTACAGGGAGAGCACAGCTTGGATAGCGACGTACATAGCAGGGGTGTTGAAGGTCTCAAACATGATCTGGGTCATCTTTTCTCTGTTGGCCTTGGGGTTAAGGGGAGCCTCAGTCAGGAGGACGGGGTGCTCTTCTGGGGCAACGCGAAGCTCGTTGTAGAAGGTGTGGTGCCAGATCTTCTCCATGTCATCCCAGTTGGTGACGATTCCGTGCTCAATGGGGTACTTCAGGGTGAGGATACCTGAAAATGTGTTACTCGCCATCTTTTCCTTCTGAGTTGACCTATGCTATCACTGACCTCTCTTGGATTGAGCCTCGTCTCCTACGTACGAATCCTTCTGTCCCATACCAACCATGACACCTTGGTGACGGGGTCTGCCTACGATGGAAGGGAAGACGGCACGTGGAGCGTCATCTCCAGCAAACCCAGCCTTGCACATTCCAGATCCATTATCAACTACAAGAGCAGCAACCTCGTCGTCGCACATTCTGGCTAACTGGAAGCATGGAAATCTATAATGTTAGGAAAGGAATAGCGTGGAATTTATGAAATTACGTCATCGTCGCCTTCCGAATATCGACATAACTAAACGGAAACAGACGGCTGATTTTGTTTATGCTTCTTTTATTCATTGTATCTCGCAATGACAAAAGTTTGTCAAATCGCTTGCGAACAAAAGAGGAGGAGCAGGAGGGAGCGGCTATGAATAGAATCAAACAGCTGTCAAATCGAACATCCGCTCATTCATTCGTGTGTCTTATCGGAGAGTGGAAAGGAACAGAACAGAAACCGAAACACTCAAAAAAGCTTTCGAAAAACCAGTAAAGCGATCCATTGGAGCTGCTCTATTACTGAAAAAAGAGCCTAGCATATATGAGAAACAACAAAATCAAAGTCCCACTTGATGGTCTCATAGATCATAGGGAGGAAAAAGAACTATTAGTTGATTCTTTGATGACCGAATAAGGTATTCAAATGGAATACTAGAAAAAAGCATGTAACAAGAAAGCGAGGGCGGCTGGGGGTGCCGCAGCTGATGCAAGTTTACACTGTGCGGGGGCCTGGGCTGAAGATTACGCCAAGTCTTTGAGGAAAATCCTCTTCACCTCACGACTGCGCAAACCTGAAACTGCGTTCAGCGCTTCGCTTCGCGCAACCACTTTCACCCTCATCATCCCTCTGTTTCTAGCATTATATAGGCGAAACACTCGCATCAAGCAAATGTCACGACTTTTCCATGTTTCTCAGAAGACCTGAGCGATTCGATCGAAATCGTTCGCCGACCCCACACAAAACACAATCGAATGACACGTCATCATCGGCAAATCATCATCCCGTTCGCCAAGCCATTGGTATTTTCCAATAGGCAGTTCTCGGAAGCAGCCTCGTGTAAAGTTTGTGCAGGCAGCGAGGCGTTCAACAAACAATGACGACAATAGTGAGCGACTGGACATCAACAGAAAACACTGCTCAGAATTTAACACCACTCAGAACTCTCCTACACATTACTGAAGGAAAAATGTTACAAATATTAGATAGTTACATTTCTTAGAATCACTGCTCATGAGGAAAGAGTACAATAGATTACTTAAACGAACAAAGAAATCACCAAGTTCTTCAACTCCTTGGCATAGCAATTCGTTAGGTAAAACGTTCGTCAGAAATCTGACTTTCGACTGGATCGCCCTTTTTTTTAGTGGCCAGTCATTCACAATTGGAAAGGAACGATTAACTGTTAAATGTTAGTGACAGGAAAGGTCACATCAAACCACAAAATAAGGGTTTCACTTGACAACCATCTGATGGCAAAAAAGCATTAAAAATAGGGAAAGGCAATACATTAAGTAGATAGGGTAAGGGTAGAAGGAGAGTGAACAAGAGGACGAGTAAAAGGACATAGCCATGACTTTGATAGGTAGACTTACAAGGATGAACTAGACTGGAGTTCAAGAACTTTTTCTCTTGGACTCTTTGATGTCCGAAAAGCACTAGAGACTCACTTATCAGGGATGGTCATTAAGTGACCGGAAATAATGGCAGAACGAAGATAATGCCAATTTACCAGATATCGTTTCTAAGGGAAGAATCAAGGAATTTAGAAACGTATGGCGTTCTTGGAACCGAAAAACAAGACCGGCAAGTGGCCACTGAATAAGGGCAAAAAATCAATGGGCTGCGTAGAAACGACTAGAATCTGGGGCTGGCTGCACGGGCATCGTCGGACTCGAGCACTCACACAACCATCCAAGGAGCTAGCTGACTGGCCTGGCTAGCTGCGCGCACCATCGATTCTGTCAAAGTGTGGAACCGCGCGGTCGTCGGCGCAATTTCATCGTCGATGCGCGCGCCAAATTCGAATTTCCCCACGCCGCCGGACCATCAGCGATCAATGGTGACCGGCGACGTCGGCGGGGCTCCCGTGGTGTCCCCTGGTGTGTTGCGCTTTACTGACTCGAGGTCATCCGCAGTAGTCATACATACATAACATTCTCCCACATGGCGCCGACATTTCAGGGACGACAGGCAAAACTGTCACGATAGATGCTGAGTCACTCCATCAAGGTAGTCATAGAGTTCCTAGTTGAAGAACCGTGGGATCGTGGAGATGTGGGATCCGCCACCTGAATCACCTAATTAATCGATCTTGTGGAACGTGAAATCGAGTGGACCAGAAACCCTCACTGGATATCGATCGTTGGTCGTACAAACACAGAATCCGTTACCAGATGTGGGTATATGTCTTGATTGGCCGGTTCCGCCCTCAGGCGTACAGGTCATAGATCACATGGTTCACAAGATCAATACACATTTAAAGTATGGTGCGGAGTCCAGATTCTCTAAGTCTGAANATCGGTAGTACTGGGGGTAGGAAACCCTTAATAATGTTCTGGGTTAATGGTACTGAAAGGTGATCGGCAGCTTATAGAGCAGAGAAGAAGATTTGAAGTGTTAGAAGTGAATTTTTCTGAGAACGCTCATTTTGTACTTTATTGTTGGGCCAGGAACTGTTTGGGACATCTCTTAAAGTGATTTTTTCTCGAATCGTCCATTCCGCCCGTTTCTTGTTACACCGAAGATTGTTTTGGAACTGGCGAGCAGTACATTACCTTTACAACTTCATGACTTTGTAAAACTTTCTACCAGTTTGGAGATGTTTCTTTCGGTTGTATATACTCGTTAAATAGATATCTCTTGAAGCCGACATCATCTCTTCCCCATAGTTGAATGTATCGAATAATGTATGTGTTCTATTGTTATTCACATTTGTTTTGCCATAACATCCGTATGGATGTTTTCTTAAAAAGTACTTTCTTTTTGATGGAGTAGTCGGAGTTATTTCCATAACTTCCGTATAATACTAGTATGAATAACATGTCAGCTCCTATTTCCTTGTCCTTTATTTCATTGAATTGGGTCAGAACTCATTCATTAACTTCAAAACTAGTTCTTTAACACTCCCGGTAGGTAGGTTTGGGGATGAGTCATCACTTGTCCTTAGCCGGTATCAACAGATATGGCTGGTGATTCATCATTTGCCCATGTCTAGGTTCCCAAAAGACTTTGTAGGACAACACAAGGGAATGATTCATTAATGATTTCCGCTAGCGATTAAATTTCGCTGGAACTGACTTTCAGCTGAAAACAGTGTTCATCGTATTCAAGAGATTTTATGCAGTTGCTGGGTGATTTCACTAAAAAATCCAAAGTAGCTCTCCTCATGGTGGGTGGGTGGTGATCTTCAGAAAAGCTTTGAGTTAGGAACTTCCAAGTTTCTTCTTTATTTTTATGAATTTTTCTTTTTGAAATTAATCCTCAATCGCCTTGTTTTCGAGCCAAATTTTCCCCAATTGTCATTTGTGTTTCTGAGCCGAACAGCTTTTGTTGTGATTAGTTTTTGTTCGTTCTTCGTTCCTTTTTAACATTATAATCCCATTTTGTTGATTGTGTAAAACTACAACTTTCTTCAGCACAATAGCTAGGAAATGATTCAAAAAGCCTCAGGAATGCGTCGGCAATTTTTATTCTCAAAAGGTGGTCCATTTTTTACTTATTCTCAAATCTGTTTGATTTATTCGTCTAATTTCGTTTGAAAGCAGTTGAATGCTACAAAATCATGGGGAAAGTTCGAATGATATCTTTTTCGGTGAAATTTCACTACGACCAGATTGAAGTATATCCACTGCTTTGACTTTTTCTACAGTTGGCAAAAAGCAGTCGGCGTCAGCTGCTTCGTTCGGGGGTGTATACAGCTGGCATTATGCCTTAGTTACTGCTCAGTAGTCTAAGTGATGGTTGCAGTGTCAGCTAATTTGATACAGATATCCTCTGCCACTGTGCTTACTTAAGCAAAGCTAATTGTAAGTGAAGTCAAAAGGGGAAAGCCGAACAGTGAGTAAGGCGATTTTAGGTAGTTGTCCAATAAAATCATCTGTCTGAGGATGTGAGCTTTTCTCGGGAGAAGCCATCTGGCAGAACAGATAAGTGTGGGGTTCGAGCAGTGAAATGTGCGCCGTGCGTAGCGCAAGTAGATTCCAAGAATGCGAGCGTCTCTCCTTGTTTGTTTTCCCCCCCTCCCCATGGGCCTGTTGACTTAGCAAAGAGCAAAACTGTAGTGGCCATGGTAACGCTAAAGAGAGAATCTGGGTGCCAAAACAAAAGGTGGAATGAAGTTTTGTGGGTATTCTGCGCCTTCGAGATTATCAAACCTAGTCTTTCGCTCTTCTGCAGTCGTGATCGAAGTGACCATCGAAGGCAATTCAAGCCAGTCTACGAGTGTATTGCTTTTAACTCAAATTCGGGCCCCTTTGCATATCTGCGAGAAGCTTTTAGCAGTCAGGCTTTGCCGTTGTAATCGTTGCAGTGAGACGAAGACTTTCATGCCGATAGGCATTGGGTGGCAGCTGGCAGTTATTGTTTCCTGGAAAACGCATTTGGAAGCCAAACATTAGTGCTAGCGGCTGCTAGTTACTGCTACAGAAGTGGCAAAGTTGAAATCAAGCTACATGACCTTATTTTTCCTCTCTGATCTTAGATAGCATTAATCGAAGGTGTACCGGGATTCCAGGAATAACTCTCTAAAGTTTAGTTTCCTAGTGGTCCCTGAACTTTTATTTGCTGGTTGGGTCCTAGTGGGTAGGAGTAAATAGGATCGTTTATTTCGGTCCTCTTTACATATGTATATGAGCGGTAAACGTCAGTCGAAGACGACCTCGGAATCCCATCCTTCAAGTTGTTGCTTTATCTGGAATAACAATATTAATCACCCATTATATTGACCGATCCCCACATGCTAAAAATTAAATGATCGGTCCTCAGAACGCGAAAATCTTAGTGGAACTCATAGGTGCTTGCTGTCGAGGCGGATAATTTCGGATGTTTGTTTAGACTTTGATGAAGGAATCCGGTTTTTTAACTTTGTGTTATCAAAAAAGTCTCACTTTCTTACAAGTAAAGTGCTCCTGTGGTGGGGAATGGAATAAACAGGTG